GCCGAAAACAAATGGATATGACATTCATCATAATCTTAGTTAACTTGTTTAAAACAAAAGGATAAAGCATGGATATCAAAATTATTGTACTCATATAGTAGACACTTTATTCTTATTAATATTGTTTTTTATCACATAGGGGATAACTGCGATTGCGGCTTGCCTGATGGTAAATGATTACCGCCCCTATGAGCACCTGCAATATACATGATAATCCTATGTACACTAAGAAAGCACCAGTAAAGGATGAATTGAGATCATAGCCTATCGTGGAGTGTAGTACAAGGATTTAACAACAATATTTTAGAGGAAGATCGCTTAGAGGTGAACTGACGTAACCATTGTTAGAGGGGTCGATAATTTCCATGATTTCGCTCCATTCCCGTCGTTGTTACCTATTCATATTAATTTCGATCAGATTTTAATATCAATTTATTTGAGAAATATAACTATAAAAAATAACAAACGCATTAAAATGGTTTTAAAAAATGTTCTGCTATTTACTACAGTTCTCTAATATAATAAAAAAAACTCGCTACTTAACTTACTTACTTACTTATACTTGAGTAAAACTGTTAACAATTAATATTACAATAAATTCACCACCGCCACCTATCAAAAGGAAAATAACTCAGTATGCCAACATTTTATGTTTACTACAGCAGTAAAAATGTATTAAATATAATAATATATTAAGTTAAAGGTTATGGTCAATTAGAACTAAGGAATTAGGTAAAGCCGTGACTACACCGCGAATGCGATGCTAAAGCGACGTTGATGCTAACAATCATCCCGCATATATCTGATTATGGCAATCTTTCTAATGTCGTTAGTCTTAAAAAAACAGTCAATTCAGTTTCATTAATTTTCTTTAATAACTTGTTATATAATAAGATTTTTTCTCGATATCTACTTGTAAAACTTTTCTCGGTTTTGTCTAGACATACATACGATAGTACATAGATACGACGGTATATTCTCATTCCTTGTTTAAAACATCCATACGTTTGTGAGAACATATTTGGATCATAGTTTAAATTTCGGAGATTATTAAAAACATCAGGATAATATTTTCCAAAATCTGTAAGCACTGTCTTTGTTTAATATATCGTGAGATCATAATAGAAGCATCAAAAATATCAATCAATGTACACTTGCCTGATTTCAATACACATAAGTATAGTAAAACCAAACTGTACCACTGCTCGAAAATTGCAACTCTTGAACTCATTTTTGGGTAAGATCCAAGATGCTGACGTCCACACAGAAGCCTTGCCTTCTCTAATAAATAACTTAGAATGTACCTATCTTTACATAATGGTTTTAAGATATAAACGTGTTGGGTATTAGCTGTAAGTTTATATTGTTTTAATTTAATACAATATATAAATAAAAAATATTAAATAAAATAATGTTTTACTGTTAGCAAAAGTCTATACCCAACTATAAAATCTGCCTAAATGGTCGTATACCCGGCTGGCACCACTCTAATTTAGTATAAGGAGTATAGGTCAATGTTACCAATTGTTATGAAATATACGTTATTACAATACTCATCCATATGTGACTGACTTGTTACTCCACATCTTTATACATATCGTCGCCTAGTGGTTGAAATTCGACCATACTTAATTTAAATTATAAGTTTAAAGTGACAACATATAGCCCTTAATTTGGTAAAAATATCCGACTAAGAGGGAAATCATTGATATTGTTATAATTTACAGTACAGTTTTATGAATTAATTCGTTAATCAAATAGTACCTATATGTAGATAGAGTCATATAAAGGCTTTATTTATTGGTCTATATCAAGATATATAAGTGTAAGTTTATTGTATTACTAGCTGACCCGGCGTACTTCGTAACGCCTAACAGTCGATTCTCTAAATTTAAGTTATATATTATAAAAATGTTAAAATCGAACTAATATATAACAGTATAAAATGTTACATAGTTTTTATGTACACTGGCTAGTTCCAGACTTCCTCTTTAGTTATTATAGCAATATGAGCATAGAAGTTAAATATATATAAAAAAACTTATATTATAGCTTATAAAATTTAACGTAGTTTTCATTTAGTACTGTTATTACTACATCTGGGCCTCCCTTTTGATATTATTGCACTGTGGGTGGGTACAGGTAAAATGGGAGGTTTAACGCCGCGCCGGAACGCCGCGGGGAGGTAACGCGCGTCCGCAAACTAACGAGTTTTTAACTTTTACGGTTATTAAACAGAAAGTAACTGCGAAACACGTTATGTGCAGTTTGTACAAAGTTAAATAAGTTATTCGCCGAAGTGTTGTTGCAGACATTTATGTAAAAACTACTGATAGCGTTTGCACAACTTCTGTTCGCTGTGAATCGGTGCTTTTTACATTGTTAGAGTTAGAAAAACTGTACAATGCTGATTGGCAGTTAACAATTGAAGCTTTGTTAGTCGCATTGTATCAGGTCAAATCAAAATCCCTTTAAGAATAAAGGGATTAGGACATTTTAGCCGTTTAAGAATGTAAAATTTTTTGTATTAATATTTTTTCTCTACCGTATAGTTCAGTATACTGATTCAATAGAGAAGAACTGGCAAGAATCTCAACCATGTTTCTTTTTTTTAAAGTTAGTTTATATACATTGTGTACTTATGTAGGTATCTATGTTTAACATTAAGTGAAAATCCCGTGCATCAACTACTATTGCCATGCACGTTTGTCATTCAAATAATCGTTTAGTGTGTAATACGCTTTGCTCTATAAATATAATTTAATAGAGGTTTTAAATTTATTTAAAGGTAATTCCAGTATATCCTTCAGAACAGCCAGCAATAAATATTGCATATTGCGTTTACCTACAGACGTCTGTACATATATTTGTTACTTTTACTCTGACCTTCGACCTTTCTTTATGAATAGCGTTGATGGATTTCTGATGGTCATACTCGCGTAACAGCTAGCGTCAGCTAGCGTCTAATATTCTTATGTAATATATTAATTGCATGTCGTTTATTTTAACGCTCAGTTTTATTAACAGCACGTTTCGTTATCGTACTTAAGCATTTTTTGAAAGAATCTCGTTTACTTTTTTAATCAAATATTATAATAGAATAACAGGGTCTTTTACGGCCTCGGTGGTCTAGCGGTTGAGTACACCGCTTTACTTTGGATTGTTGCGGGTTCGATTCCTCGTACGATGCAATTTTTTATTCAGGATTACGAGTGTTTGTATCGGTCTGGGTGTTATCTATGTATATTATTTAGTTGTTTAGTATCCCTAACACAAGCTCTGCTTATCGTGGGACTAGATGGTGCTGTGTTAATTATCCAGGGTTTTTATTTATTATTTATTTATTCTATGATAGTGTAACTTTTTATTCTATTCTCATTAATGTAAGAGTTTTAAATTGTATTCAATTGGTTAATCAATTTTCCTAGTTGTATTTGATTGGAGTCGTGTCGTATCAACGCCTAAAGAGATAAATGAAAGATTGTGGAAAATGGCAATAGTGAAGCTATAGCCATGCTGAAAAGAGTGCATCTCTTAAATTTTATGAATAATTTAATGTATTTAATAACTTAAAAATAAGTTTAGATTTTTAATGTAAGTTTAGCCTTCATATGCAATCAACGTGCATCATTATCGAGTCTAGTACAGCCGAGACGATAATTAGCGTAAAACTGGGTAACCCCATTAGCGCCTATTAAAATTAATACCCGATAAACCCCGTGATTGCAACGAGCGTTGACTTCACAGGTGAACTTTCGGAGATCTGTTTTTGTGGCAATAACAGCGTGGCAACAAGTGGTATAAACTTGGTTTAGTTCAGTGATTAATTAAGATATTGCTTCATCACTGAACGCTAGATAAACGTTTCTACTTACTTAAGTAGACCACTAAGTTTTACATAGGCTATTCCCTTAACAGAAAGAATAATATACACATACACCAACTCTAATATTTATTTTATGACATTGGAATGAAAAGCTGACGGAATGAAATGGTAAATGGTAACTATCGCTTATATGATACATGACCATTACCACTTGTCATAGAATAAATTGTGACACCTGTAAAATCTTATGTAAGTTGCCATTCTTGAAGACAAAGCTATTATACTATTGGTATGACCATTTTCGACCGTCTACAATAGGTGTTCTGTAACGCAAAATATTATACAATGTGGTACAATCAATATGGCAATAATTTCAGATTATACTATATATATTGAATATGATAATCAAATCAAAAAATATTTATTTATATACAACACTTTCATGTATATAGAAGAATTTTTTTTATTAACCCTATCGGCGAGAAACTCTGTTGAGTTGAGTTCAAGTTATTCTTTTTATTTTTTTAACTACAGTTTGAGTTTGAACAAAATATGCCACCATTCATATCCGACAATTCAAGTATTGTTAATGTTATATAAAACAATTGGATGGGAACAAGAAGAAGAGCTTGTCTCTTAATAACATCGTTTTAAAAAGCCGGTGCGCGCTGGTGTGAAACGGAGCTAAGACAAGGTCGGAAACAATTTTTATTGTAAGCTTTTTATATTACTCACGAATATTATAATAATTTAAAAAAACTAACTATATACCTATTTGCACATTATAGTTAGTCATAGGTTTTAAAATAGAAACAAAATATCGCTGACCGTCTTTTGTTTCAAAGGAGTTATGACAAAATTTCTTACTCACTCTGCTCGGTTAACTTTTCCAAACTGGTGCGTAGAATTACAAAAAATATTTAAAATTAAGGTTATAGCCATTTCATTGCCATATGTTAATTTGAACTATTCATAGTTGACTGATAGAAAATTACGCAAAGTGTTAAATCTATATAACCAGGCAAATGTACTTTTACTTTTTGTAACATGTGCTTAAAAACCATTTATACACTTGTAAATTACGTAATTTGTTATATTACTTTTAGTATAAATAATTTAATAACTAAATACCTAGTTCGTCAACAATTTTTCGAAATAAATGCTAATAACTTACCATTTCTAGATATAACTCTGCGAAGCATATGTCCGAAGCGCCTCGCCCCCAAACATATCCGTTGCTCCCGCACCACTTCATCCATGCAATCACTATCCGTACCTGTATCTTCCTCACTGTCAACGTCTGACACGAGAGATTCACGTTTGTATAAATCTTTATAGTTTTCTTCATTAAAATTTAAAGTGGGCTCACTAACTCCCAAACTCTTTGATTCGGCTGTCCAATCTGCACTATGTCCATCGTTGAATAAATCATCTAAATTTGTTTCTAATAAACCTTTGGCATTACATATCACTTTACTTTTGGCATGATTTGGCGCGATTATCGCGTCAGCACTGTTAGAAAGACATTTGTCTCGTTTCAATTTCTTCGTCTCCTCATCAATATTTTGATGCACACTTATATTGTCTTGGGTTTTGGTCCGTTGTTTTAAATTTAAAGAATTCTGTGACAACAATTCTTCTCTCCGCGTCTCGTTTACTCTTTCGGAAATCGGGTTAACTTGAGGCCCGATTTGATTCTGCGGATGGCTTGCACGAAACATATTCGATAACACTAACATTTTCACTGTTTTTAATGCACCAATACTTGTTAAACATTCCATCACTGCATTCCTTATTCACATTTCACTATAACAGTTGTCTGGCACTAAACATACAAAGATGGTTTTGTGTTTATTCAAGCCTCGTAAAATTTTATTTTAATAGAGAAAACTGCCTGTTGCAGTACAACGATATATGCAAATGTATTCTTTACGGAAAACTGGGCATTATTCAGGCGTATAGAATATTCTGTAGTGTCCGGAGCTTAGGTGATATTTTGTTAGTGCGACGTTGGGACAACACGACAGCTATGAATAAGTAAAATATCAGCAGAGAAACAATCCACCACGCCAGTGAAACATTGGATACATCATTTCATAATAATAAATAGAAAAATAATAATGTTCTATTTTCATAAATTATTATAACGTACGAAACATTTGTGATGACATATACTTCAACTATTCATTACTATAAATCTTTACACGTCGCTTCCGCGACATCTTGTTAAAACGTTAAGTAGTTCAAACTGGCAATTATTAAGAAGACCTTGAAGACAATAACAAATAGAGAAATAGAAAACGAATGTCGAATTGCTGTAACAAAAACATGATGTACAACTATTGTTAAGAATTTTATACCTTGTTCTCACAGTATACAGTATCGACTGAACCTTATTATCGACTATCAATAAGAAAAACTCTAAATAATCTAATCTAATTTGATCTCTAAATCATAAACATATATAAACAAATGATGAAAATTTATTCATATTCATGGGATATTAATTATTACATATATTTCTTTTAATTCCTAAGTGTTTTAGAATTATATTTAAAAACTTAATATTATTTCAAATAGTGTTTTTTCATTTAAAAAAGAACTTGAGAATAATAAAATCGTCTTTTACAATTCATAAGAGTAAGCTCACTTTTACATAAATGAAATAAGACGAAAAAATCACGAGAAAGAACTAGTAATAAATATAAAGAAGAAGCAGAAATAAACTGCTTTAACGTTTCGCAACTTTAGAACAGATTTAAAGGTTCCTTGCTCCTCTACAGTTGTTTATGTCAGGTTTTAGAGTCCCATTACGTAGGGACTCCTGGCGACAGCCACCCATGTGTCGGGAGGACAAAGCATTTGGATAATACCACGATAAAATTTCAAACCACGTAAATGTTATCAAGCTTCTGCACAATATGATGTTGGAACTTAGTCGCAAAAAGCATATACAATTTTATACATAACCCACGATTTTAAGGAAGCATATTGCATTATTTAGAATACGAGAGTCACTGGTAAGGAAATAAGACCAAGTATGGGGTAATCCATTAATCACGTGAAGCCCAAAAGGAGGAGCAAAAATCACGAAATATCATAGTAAGGCTGTAGTAGATGTCTTACATCACGTGTATTTAGTTTTTCGACAAATGTGCATTTTATTTTAAAACCGTAAAGCGACCTTGACTATTCTAGAATTAAATTAAATTATACTTTATACCTGTATTTAAAGATATACACGTGATTTTCGGAGGGGGCCTCCGAAAGTCACGTGAATTTGTTAGTACCTACAAAGATACTTTAAAAATTTAGAATACGAGTATCTATATATTATTGGGAGGAGATTAGTCATAAATCTCATCGTATGACCAATTGGGGGTTAAAATTCCTAAAAAAACATCACGTGATTAATGTCTATGGCTGTCCCTATTAATGAAAAACTTTCTTCGGCTGATATAAATTTTTAAAAACACACTGTCATATCGTCAAAATTATTATTAAAAGAAACATAGATTTCTGAAAGGACACTAAAGTATCTCTTTGTAACCACAAAATGAACGATGCGATATGTTCTGATTTGACTTGCAATTCGCTAGAAAAATCATGCGGATATTTTCATTCCCGTCAGTGAAAACCAGAGCATACTTTATTACAAGATAGTGGGTATAAAACGACAAAGCTTTTCAATGGTGCCGTATCAGATCACGGCGTCTCCATTATGCAGTGGCTTACGGCGTCCAGACGGCTTTTTGCCTTAATCTTGTTTAACAGACGTGTTCCGCTTACAGAATTTTTAAGCACTCTTTCAGCTACATGCAATGTATTATAGAATTACAACAGCATCAACAGCATTTCTGTTATTTTAACGCTCTTTTTGTATTCGCAAAGGTCTAAAACAGAAGAAATGACAACTGATCTTATGATTATAAAATTCTATTGTTTTATTAGCATATATTCCTATCAATACAATATAATTTACTGATTTCTTTATGCAATTAATTTTCATAGCCCTTAATATTCATTTAAATGTATAATAATTAAAAGTATACAAACGGGATAAGCGATTATTTATATTTTTGATTAAACACATCCGTTTGACTTTTAATTCCGTATATGTAAGACACCAGACAATAATAGTGAACAAGTTCACACACTTCTAAACACATTGTTAATCGTCTAAGCAATCAAGATTATTTCCCTATTCAAAAAACACTCAAGGTCCAAGCAAGGTGAAGCTCGTCACGTCATATGAACCCTAAGGCAGTCATTACGCGAACACGCTATATGGTGCAATGTCAAATAATTGTGAGCGTGACATGTGATCTATAATAATAAAGTTATTAACAGTTGATATATATACAGTATCTAATACTGTGTATTCATAACTTGCCAACAGGAAACATGATTTAAGAACTTTGGATTGAACTATTTTTTAATTCTACCGCTCATTAGGTAAGCAAAAAGAACGAGCAAGAAATTTACCTGTTAACTCTTTTAAACAAATTTTTCATTTTTAAGATTTGCATTTGTTCTAATAATACATAATCCAGTAGCATTTTTTAATTCTGAAAACTTTCAAAGACAAATTTTATTTCAATTAACTCACTGCAATAAATGGAGGTATGTCGATTATAATAATTAATGATAGTCCTAGCAAAGGGATTTTAATACCTATATTTCAAACTAGTCGTACTCTAAAAAACCATTGGTATAACCTCCGTCCGTGAGATCAAAACAAACAGTCATGAAATCACTGAAACATGTATTTTTACATTATGATATATCGAATTCACCATAATGACGTATTAATTCAATTTGATATGGAAGCCGAATACTTGCGGGAAATGGTTTTTAGATATCAACTCCCTCATGTCGTCAGCTCTCAATTCTAAGATCGATTTATCCTGATTGAAGCACATCTAAACGAAATGTATTCGAAAGTGTACGTAGTTATACTCGCTTATTGAATCAATTCTCCGCAAAGCTTATCCATATATTGAGGAGATCAAGATTTATAAACCCAGACAATTAAAGTAAAATCTGAAATTTGTAATCATACTATGATAAATCAATACTAAAATATATTTAAGCCTATTACAGGCAGATATGTATGCATTATTTATAGTTTAAATATATTCATACATACGTATTTTCGCTTATTAACATGATTAGGTAAGGCAAAAGTATATGACTGTGCCATCATGTAAAAATTAGTATCAACTTCTTCATTGAACATGGCTATTGGACGCATTATAGAATTACAATTAACAGGCCTTCCTAACACACGTCCTATCTGATTTGCTAAATCAAGTTTATTTACTTCATGATACATATATCATCTATTTTATTTCGGCTCTTCTCTTTTAAATATAAAATACGAAACCTGACTTTTCTTTTCATCACACCATTTCAAAATATCACACTGTCTTTATGTAAATATACTGAGTTCCATATCCAAATTGCGCCGTTTGAAGCGAATTATAGGTGTCAACAAGATATATGGCGTTTAGCTGTTTGCAGACTCGATCACAGTCGTATTCCGCTGTTTGCGCAGATCTCGGGGGCAGTAAAGCTTTGATCCGCATGTGTGTGCGTCTACGCGTGATATGTACACATGTCATCACATCAATGGAAGTATCCTTCTACTTTTTTAATTCGCCCTATGAAGTCGCAAAAGCGGAACGCATCAAAGGAATTTCACATGGGTACGTTAACTCGATGCGCGACTCAGAACGATACAGAAACGCGTATCGTATGTACTTTTATTCAGATTGTCTTTGCCTTGTATATCTGCAGAATGAAGCTCGTATTTACTTAGGAAGGAATAGCATTTGCTAATAACGTTTTTACCGTCAGTCATATAACAAAAAGAAATTGAAATTCTTGTAATATTGAACACCTAACAATATTTTATTAATTCTGAATTTAAGAAGAGGTACAGAAGTGCAATCGTATTCAGAAAATATTTTTTATTTAACAGCGTTGTTTTTATTATTATTGCCTAATACACCTAGTGCTAAATTTACACCATAGATCATCAAAAACATCTTTAAACATTTATGTATTGCGTATTTTGAGCAACACAACATTATTATATCACGATTTAATACGAACAATTAAACGAAATAAAACATTTTGCAACAAAAGAAGCTGATGATAAATGCACGAAATTATTTATTGCATTAGTTTCGTAAAAGTTTTGTCGTACCATAAATACACGCGCAGCATCAGGGGTTCGAAATGTAACTTACTATTTTGTCATTTTCTTTTTTATTTTTCTCTTATTTCACATACAGAAGAGATGAATTATTTTCCTAATACTCGCGTATTATGTGATCTCATTGCTCTCACGAATGCTACTGCTTAGAGTTATATTTGAAGTATTCTCTAAAATCTAGATTACGGTTTCCTAAGTAACCATTTTTAATACTACTACTTAAGTTAATCGAATGGTTAGAACGAATTTTAGACCAATATTATTAGGCTGTATAGAGCCTAATGTAAATGGATTTAGGCGACTACAACCTTGCATAGCCTTATTTAGTCTTAAGTATTGGCACGCATAATATATTCAGTTGCAATATCTATTTAACTCCATATATGTATGCGTAATAGTTTTAAAAGTCCTGTAGATATGTATAGGCCACGAAATCTATTTCCTGACCTCGACTATAGTCAATTACTAGTTGAAATGTAAAGCTCAACAGTACTAAATGGAATGTCTCCACTGAGACCAGCAGCACTAAGTTATCGGAATACCGGAACAATTTATACCATGCGAAAACCATATCCTGTGTCTTATTAAGACAAGTACAA